TTTTAATTATTTTAAACTGGGACGCGTAGGTGGCGGTAGGGGAAATAGTGAAAGTGGTCAATGGGGAGCATCTCCCGGCGGATCTCATCAGTCTGTCCTCCAGGTCAGCACCGCTGGGCTGTGCAGGGGTGTGCACGTGGGTCCTCACCCTAAACCAGAGAATGGCGGCACCCAAACATGGCTGACTTCTGTGCCTCTTCCTGTAAAACACAAACTTTTTTATACTTCTTGGCGATAGACGTTTCACCGACGTTTTAAAGGCATTTTGTGAATGCCATGTTGCATGACATTCGTCCCTCAATTGGGAAGATTCCACTCTCCCGTTGCTATCAGTGGGAGTCCGAGAGGCATTCCGCTAAAGGTAGATTTTAATTTCCTCCGCACCGTTAGTATATGTTCCTATTTAAGGACACGCCTAAATACTAAGGCTTCATTTGTTACCTCTCCACGATATTGTTTTGAACAGTGTGAAGCTGTTCCTGAAACAGTCATTGAAAATGGATGAGATTTTAAACAGATTCATCATTCTCGTTTTAAATTTCCTGTCGATTCTATAGAATCCTTCCAGAGATGATGACTATCATTCGGGCTTACATAGGGTTCATAGAGGACCCCCGGCACAAAGCTGGATGTTGTACATTTTGTACCGCATGCTTTGGGACCAATTTTATCCCGCTCGTAACTAGTGGCAAAGTGCACGTTACTATGGTAAAGTTCAGCTGTCTGTCAGTGTCTGTGTTGTGATTTGCATCTCGTTTCATTTTTCCACTTACTAATCGAAAAGCCTGCTCTGCCTCTCTGACTAGTTTGTGTCGCGGATGTCATCGTAATTTGCTGGAGTACTTACGATCTAGCACGATTCCTTATCTGAGGCTTCTTGCTGCCTTTTCACACGAAGAACTGCTTCAGTAACCGCTGTCTTAAGTGATTATTAAGAATGTTCAGAATTCGGATGCAGTTTTTTTATTTGTCCCACTTCAAATATAAGTCAGCCATTTAAAAAGTCCTAGAAAAGTTACTTTATGAGAGAGAAAAAAGTAGAATGTTATTCTCATTTTAATACGGCACTGGCCTTGGATAAGCATCTTGAACAGTAAAATCTTAATGCATTTTACTGCCAGAATATGGAATCAACATTGTCATTTAGCATTTTGTTCACCACATGCTTCCATATTATCAGAAGATGTGTTTTATAAATCCATAAACTATTTCAGATGTATGCATAAGTAAATCACAAATTTAGAGCAATTACAAGAGGCGAATTACTATGGTGACAGTGATTAAAAAATAAAATTTGGAATAATTGATAGAGTGAAAATATAAATATCAAACAACTTCTCTTTGGGAAAAAGTAGCAGCCTTCATGAAAGAAAGCCCTTAGAGTAAAAATCGAAGAACTCTCAAAGGTTACTTTAAAATGAGTCTGTTAAATATTTGATTAACGCCCATGTGTTTAAGCAGTTTTCGCAAATTTCCCGGCCGCAAAATTCAACCAGATGCTCATTTCTGAAACGTGGAACAGTCGGTTTTGCACATGTGCAAATTGGAAGTTGATTAGGAAATTCCAGGCATTTGTTACTTGCAAATTTATTTCTAGCTTCGAGTATACGTGCTTATCAGAGATCGCATTCATAGTTACTTACATGATGTTAGTAAAATTAGGCTTATTCTATAACCAGGGGCTAATGAGATCGATTTCAGAATGCTTGTCCTTAGAGTCGAGGATCAGACTGTACAGTTGGGCTACAAGCTCACATGTCTGTAGTTGTTGGGCAAGTAGATAAGCGTGTGAAGAGGAAGGAGCTAGGACGGTCTGGGGTATGACACCTGTCACCAAGCTGGAGAACACCGTTACTGAGACACTGGTGGGAACCATGAAACGGATCTTCTAGGATGAGTTCAAGGAGCAATAGGGCAAAACTGACTGATTTTAGTTTTAGCTTTTGCTGCTACAAGAATAGAAGCAGAAAATAGAAAAGTGCATATCCGCTTTCATTGTAAAATTCGTTTATACAGTTTTTAAAAGTAACCTTAAAATTTTAGTTTTGTGGGTTCATATCATACTTTTCGTCATAGCCAAAAAGGGAGTACATGCGAGTTTGTAGAAGTGGCAATCTGGAATTTTCTAATCAACCATTCTCCTTAACCAATTTACATGTGAGCCGTGAGCATGAAATCTCACTCGATGTATTTGAGCTAAAGATAAATCTGGACACAAAACTGCTTTACATTTCAGATGCAGTCTGTGTTGTGTCTATATGGACGAACAATTTAAGCAAAATGTGATAAATCATTTGCATCACCTTGGAGACCACTTACCGATTGTGGTCAGGAAATCGCTTGTGGGTCCTTCTGGCTGAAAAGCTGATCCATGAGTTGTCATGCATGGGTTCTGCCTCACCGTGTCTTGCTGTTAGATTGGCAATCGTCAGGCAGCTAGGTGACTGCCAGTCTGTCTAGAAGGAAAGGCCTCAGAGAGTCTGAGCATTTAAATAAGGTGTTGTTATCATGCCTGCCTTCCTCCACTAAATCTCTGTGCTTCTCCACTCTCAACCACAGCGAGCCCCAGGCCATGTGCTACATCGAAACGTCTAACTTAGACGGTGAAACAAACTTGAAAATTAGACAGGTAAGAAGCGCTAATGCAGGTTTATATATCACTGCTGTTTTATCATGGGGAATTAAGAGCTGCTTTCTTAGCGGTGTTGTCTTGAGTTGAAGTGCTTCTAATTGCAAATATTTTCTCATTGAACCACTATGAGGATAGATGTTTTATAAACTGGTGTTAGTATTATGGAAGCCTCAGACTTAGTTGCCTGATGCAACATGGCCCATTGTGTAGATACTTTTGTCATATTTTTAATGGCTTTATGTAACAGCCAGCACTCAGATAATAGTAGTAGTTCTAAGTGCGTTCACACGTGTTAGCTCATTTATTTTCCCTATTCGCCCAGCCCAAATAACTATTTGGTTCTGCCATATTAAAAAGCCATAGTTTCTAGTGCTGTTCTAAAACTCTCATGCATCTTGGAGAACAGTTTATAGTTCTGTATTTACTTTTCATATCATCTCTAGAAGAAAACAACCGTAAAATTTTTGAAGTTTTAAAAGGATCTTTAAAAGATGAGTGCCCTTGGGTTCCAGAGGATGATGACAATGACCTGTTGGGGGTTGGGTCGTGGTGGAACTGGGTCATCACAGGACTGGGACCCAGACTGCCAAGGGATGAGGGGGTCACACTCAGGGTCAGCCACTTCTAGTTGGCCAGGGGGAAGAACCGTTTTGGAATTTCCGTTCTCAGTGGACTTAAAAAAAAAAAAGAAGAAGAAGAAGAAGAAAAAAGAAACAAAACTACTTTCTTTCAACATAGATTCCATCCATTTTTCATCCCATTTTTTTAGATAGAGAAGACACACTCAGCCTGTATAGTGCTAAATATTAATTTTATTTTTGGAAGCAAATGTTTCTTTGGGGACTTGCTTCAAAATATCTGTGCAGACTAGCTTATAGTCTACTGAATATATTTTGGAACTTTTGTAAAAGCTGCCTTGTTCTTATTCTAAAAACCTGTGCTCAAGTCAGGCAGGAAGGTGTCCTTTAATTATGATTTGACAGAATATCGAATAAGGGGGTGAGGGGAGAAAAGCTTACAAGATAAATGGGATCCCTTAGATCTTAAGACCTGGGTGAATTCAGAATTCTTCCTCTTCCCCCAAACACAACTTACTGAATATGCTCTTTGCTTATTTAAAAATTTCTAACAGGGCTTACCGGCAACCTCAGATATAAAAGACATCGACAGTCTGATGAGAATTTCTGGCAGAATTGAATGTGAAAGTCCGAACAGACATCTCTACGATTTTGTTGGAAACATAAGGCTTGATGGACACGGGTATGTAAAATCGGTCTCCATAAAAACACGGAACCCACCGTGTCGTAGTGTTTGCTGAGTGTCTTCCAAGGATGGGTACATGTTGTTTTCTTGTGCACTAAGTTTGAATACTGAAAATCCCTTTTTTAAGCATTTTTACATCCTACCCCAAGTCCTTTTGTAAAAATACTGGATCTTAAGCCTATTCACGTAGTACAGCTGAAGACTTCCCCGGGTGCCTGCCAGTCTGGCAGTTCGATGTTTTCGGGGATACTGCAGGCTTCTGGCACATTGTTTAGTGAGCAAATAACTTGTGGATTATTCTTTGGCCCAGATACTTATGCTATAAGCTTAACTATCCAATTGTCATGGCCTGGGTCCTTTCCTGTGATCTCTAGATGCCTCAGGGAATTCAGACTCTACCAAGTGTAGACTTCTTTTTCAAAGAGTTTGTTGCAAAGGGGAGCAAAGAAATGGGGCAGAACCTGGCGGGAAGGGTAGAGTCTTTTCCTTTGTCCTTTCTTTTCCCCTCCCTGCCCTTCTTTCCCTGCTTCCCCTATTTTGCATTGTACCTTATCTTCCAGGCATGTATAGTGGACAACTAAATGTCAGCTAAATGCACAACTTCAGCCCACCAGCCCAGGAGAATGTCATTGGTGCTTTTGTTGTTGTGTAATTGCATTATCCGAGTGTTCGAATTCTAAAGGACATTTGGAGTGTGCCCTGAACTGTCGTCCTCATTGAGAGCCTCCAAAAGCTTTCTTTTGCCACCTTTGAAGTAATTACGTGTTCTAAAATTTGCACAGAGTGATCTTTCCAGGAACATATGGTTGTAGACTAATGATAGATTTGGCCGTTTATACAAGTAGTGTTTCTCCAGTCTGACGTTCCTAACTGGACTGCTTCCATTTCGTACCAATTTTCCATCAAATTGATGCCAACCAAATCTATGCTGTGAGGGGGAACTTTGTACGATGGTGCCAAGATTTAGGGTACAGATAAAATTTGCTTTATTTTATGTGAAAGGCAGAAACAGATTTTCAAGACCTTTGCATTTGTAGCACATTTGGATTTTATATTATAGGGCCCAGAGCTCTTGGAGACCCTTTGGAGTCAACGTACTTTGATAGCTCAGGATGGGGGTCATGGGCTAATGCCAGAAGCCCTGGAATTCCAGCTGTGATGAAACTAACAATCACTAACTCTTCTTGAGTCCTTGTAATTGAAAAGTAGTATGTTTTGCTTTTGAGGAGTTTGTACCTAATTCCTGTCAACACAACAACACAAATGTTGAGGTGAGAGTTGCTATTAGTGTATTACACTCCACTGCGTAGGTGAGGAACACCTGCCACGTGCATGCCCCAGAGCGTAGTCCAAGAACTTTCCAAGAACTTCTTGGAAACCTGGTTCAGGCCCAAGACCCCTCCCAACTCTGAAGTGCACCCCAAATCTTGAAACATATACAAGCGGGTTCCCCTCCAGATGGGTCCCGAAGGCATAATGTTTTATACATTAAGAGTGAGAGTTATATTTTTAGGAATATACTATTTCAAAACGTTTCATTGACATGCTGTTATTATGCACCCATCTGGGTTGATTTCACCTGAGCTGGTAGAATTTGTGTAGTTCCTTGCAAGAAGGTTCAAGGCCCAAGGGGCCACTGGCCTTACTAGCCTGCTGGGCCACAGAAGCTCACCAGGTATGAAGGCGGCCTTGGCTTCACTTTTCCTCCACTTATAAAGCAGTCCTGTGTTCTCTGTAGACTTTCTTATAGAATCATTCCTTTCCTTTTCCAGAAGATTTTTTTAATGTGTTTTTCTTTATATTTGCCTTTTCTCTTTTTTTTTTTGCCTTTTTTCTTATTAAAATGAAGAATTTGTCATAGGAATCCTTGAGCCGTTAAATTGTCTATAGTACATGTCCATCAAGAACTCCAATATGTCTGTGAGAGTTTGTTCCTTCTTACATCCCTGCGTGAGTTTGTATCACCCAACAACATACCAAAGTGGGTAGCCTTGTGAAAAACCCACAAAAGATCCCCACCTGTGCCTTATGTATTGAAAGTATGGTTTAAATTATAGGGGACGAATGGCTTCAAAATGCTTACTGTTCATTGGACATTTATTCACAATTTTTGGAGAACTGATCTTCAAATACTATAAAATGACTATCATAGAGCTTTTAAGTACAGAAACTTGTCTCTGTGGGGCAGGGAGGGCAGGTGAGTATATGGTGAGGTCTGTGTCGTTATTTTGCCTTGTGTGCTTTTTTGAGCCTTTATTATGCACAAAGCTATTTCTAATTTAAAGGAAGAGTGTGGGGGAAGTGGGGGCAGGAGACAAATCCCTGAGCCCCACCACTTCCAAATATTTCAGAGACCTAAATTGACTTATTAATTCAGGAAAAGTCATGAACAGGTTTGAGCATTAGCCTCTGAATTCCGAAACGCCACCTACTACTTTGGATAGTGTATTAGTTTCCTCGGGCTGCCATGACAAAATCCCATAGACTAGGTGGGGGCTTTAACAACACAAATTTGTTTTTCTCACATTTATGGAGGCTGGAAATCTGAGACCACGGTACCAGCATGGTCAGGTTCTGGTGGGGGCTCTATTCCTGGCTGGCAAAAGATACCTTCTTGCTGTGTCAGTGCATGGCAGAAAGAAAGAGAGGATGAACTCCTGGTGTGTCTTCTTACAAAGGCACTAGTGCCTGTCGTGAGGGCCCCACCGTGGTGGCCTCTTCTAAACCTAGTTACCTCCCGAAAGTGCCATCTCCAGATACCATCACGCGGATGGATAAGAGCTTCTAGCATGGGAATATTGGAGACACACCGTTCAGTCCGTAGCAGATAGTGAACTTATAGGAAGTGACAGGTTTTGTGTTAAGGAGAAGTAACTCAAACACTTTCATTCCTGTTTAAGAGAATTATTGGTGGGAAATTTACTTGCTTTCCAAGTAAAGGGTTATTTTAATCATGGAACTTTTTGAAACTATATGGTGACTGTAGAGTTCTTAAGCATTTTAGAAAACATCGTTTCTGATGTCCACATAATCTGTCCTAGCACTGTTCCCCTGGGAGCGGATCAGATTCTTCTGCGAGGTGCTCAGCTGAGAAATACGCAGTGGGTTCATGGAATCGTTGTCTACACTGGACATGACACCAAGCTGATGCAGGTGGGATTTTTATCTGTGAACCTGTTGGGCCTAAGTCTTCCGTAAATGGATCTCAGTGCAGTATTCCCAAGCATAGCACACCGTCTGTCCTGAGCCCACCGCATACATCCAGAATCTGGTACCCCACTGAGCGAGGCCTCGAAATGATCTCAATAAGAACGGCTCACTGTACACAGGGACACCGGGAAGTGTCACCAGAGATCACCTGGTCCTTGAACTCTTGATGATTTTGCATATTGGTCCGTTGGCAGCATCTCCTAACTATAGCCGTGATTATTACAAGCTGTCTGTGTAACCGAGAGTGCTCTGCCTTAAGCATTTGTCTTATAATTTTATTTTAATGCAGTGATCGAATTTTAAAATTTAATTCTTCATGTAATGGAAAGAAAAAGTTTGTGAATCAGATGTTCATATTTCGTAGCATTTACGTGTAAGGCTGTTTTTGCCATCAGCATTCATCAGAGCGCTAATATTTACACGTGCCTGTGGTTGCTTCTCTGCACTGGGGTACCACCAACGTCCAGGAGTTAGGTGGGCGAGGCAAACTCACTTTTACGACACTCGATGAAAATCTGCTCTAAGGGCTAACACCTTTGTACGTCGTACAGGCATGAAGATGTTGTCAACAGCCAAGGGGGACTGTCGTTAATGATTCTACCCCTAGTCATTCATAAATTCCTATAAATCTTCCTTTTATAGTAATTATGACATTTTCTGTGCTGTGGATGTCTTGGTGAGCACAGATCTAACATAACCATTTGGATCATCAGACACAAATGAGGAAACTTGCCTTTGTTATTCTTGGTAGCCAGAGGGAGTTGAATTGCTGCTGTGTTCAGTAAAACAATTGCTAAATGCCACCAGAAATCTGCAAATCAGAGATCTTTAAATGTTGCCTTCATACTTTGAAATATCCGGTTGTGCATGCGCAGGCCACCTTCTCTTCCTCTCCTGAGCTAAGACACTAAGCAGATCCTTCCAGATACCTCGTTTGCTTAAGCAGGCAAGTAATTCATCTTACCTGACACAATGCAAAAGCTATGTCTGCAGAAGGAATGTTATTTCCTTTTCTTCTTCTTTCTCATTGTTTTACTTCCTAAAAAAAAACTTGGGTGGTATAGTAGCCTTGACGAAAAGAGGTAGTTAACCATTGACCACACCTTATTATTATATTTGTCATGGGCTTTGTGTAATATTCATGTATGTGTTCACCCCGTCTAGATACTGTGCTGTGGCTGACTTTGTCGCCCTCATCAAAACGCTAAAGTGCGCATTACTGAATCGTTCATGTGTATTGTTACTACTCATCTTGTTTCTTTTTACAGAATTCAACAAGCCCGCCGCTTAAGCTCTCCAATGTGGAACGGATTACCAACGTGCAAATTTTGATTTTGTTTTGTATCTTAATTGCCATGTCCCTCGTCTGCTCCGTGGGTGCGGCCATTTGGAACCGAAGGCATTCCGGAAAGGACTGGTATCTCAATCTGAACTGTAAGCGGAAAGTGCTTCCGGCACTTGCTTATTTTATTAGAGCATACATTTGCTTGGCAGTCTATCTTGATTTGTGGCATTTCCTATTATTTCTAAAAAGAAGACCTTGTTGCCAGGTTAGCTGGGCATTTGATCTTTATCTTTCAATGAGATTTCCAGCAAATGTAAGTAAAATTTTAGAATCTCTAAGATTTTCAAATCCTTAAAAATATGATGGGCACTCCATGGTAGTATAAAATATTCACTGAATATAGCCATTAACATGATATACATAAATGAAAATTATTCTTTTACAATGATTTTAGCATAAATGGTTAACTATATGGTAAAGAAAGTACATCGTGTATGTGTGGAGGATATAATAAAATACACATGCCTATATACACGTACACAAATACGTATATCTATATTTAAGTAAAGTGTACCAAAAAGTAGTTCACATAATTTAAAAATGTTTAAACTGAACGTACTTTCATTCGAACTCAGTAATGCAGTGAGTGCTGCATTAAATGATCATTTGTCCTGAAGAAAATCCTATTAAATACTTTCCTTGGTTGGGTGCAGTGCCTGTAATTGTAGCACGTTGAGAGGCTGAAGTGGGAGGATTGCTTGAGGCCGGGAGTTCAAGACCAGCCTGCACAAGATAGTGAGATCCCATCGCTACAAAAAATTTAAAAATTAGCCAGACATGGTGGCATGTGACTATAGTCCCAACTACAGAGGAGGCTGAGGCAGGAGGATCGCTTGAGCCCAGGAGTTTGAGGCTGCAGTGAGCTATGATGATGCCAGTGCACTCTAGCCCGGGCAACAGAGTGAGACCCTGTCTCAAAAAAAAAAAAAAAAAAAACTTCCCTTTTGGAGCATTTATCCTTTTATTATTGTGGTATTAATCCCCACTCCCCATCCCCCGCTATTTCTAGGAAGTGAGTTTGCATTTCTACTTGGTGAGTACTTAGCCAATAAATACTTAATTTCCAAAAGTGTGAAGAATTCCAGTAAGATCTTGTAGCAAAAACTGATTTTTTGAATTTTTTTTGTTGCATTTATTTAACTTTGCAGCCATTCCGAGTTATTTTTATAGTCATTGATTTATTATTTTTATAGTCATTGATTTATTATTTCAACATGAGAACTGTTACTACTACCATCAATTTGTTCCTTCATATACTTCACAATATATTTGGTATAGCTGTTTTATTTTCATTATTGAGAAGGAAAAGTATAATTTGCCTAGGAGAATAATTTACCTAGGACTAAGTAGTATTCACACAGTTTGGATTGTTTTTGAAGCTGCTTTTTCATCTGTTTGCTTTTAAAGCATGCTTTCAATTGGAAATGCTTTTAAGAATTCATGTAAAAGTAATTTACCCAGTTGAGATTTTATTTTTATAAACCCTCAGTGCTATCCTTAATGTCTCTGAACTTCCTATTTAGAACCGGATCTGCAATACTTGATACTACTTTCACTTTTTAGTACTATTATATAGTTTTTTAACTGGATTAATGATGTATTGAACACACATAATGCAATTCCATCTTGACAGATGTATTTGAGAATTATGTTATTTTATCAGAAAAATGTTCCTCCCCAACTATCTGGGTATGCCATATAACGTGGAAAATTCTTATGCTAAATTTCTGGTCAATGCAAATAAAATATTAAAACTGCAAATGACATTCTTCCCCACCTCTCCCAACAGATGGTGGCGCTAATAATTTTGGACTGAATTTCTTGACCTTCATCATCCTTTTCAACAACCTCATTCCTATCAGCTTGTTGGTTACACTAGAAGTGGTGAAATTTACCCAGGCGTACTTCATAAATTGGGTAAATATGAATTATTGTTTGTCAGCACCTTACGTGTACATTTTCTCTTTTTTTTTCTTACAATGGGATCTTTTGATCTTTCAGGGAGAAAAACACTTAATTATACCTACCTTTTTGAATACAAGATAACATTTTTGAGCCTAGTAGGATTAAAACAAAGTCCCTCATTTCAGACTCACACAAGTTCACAAGCCAGACATCATGGGGGAAACAGGTCTCTAGTGCAAGAAACCTATTTTGGGATATATAGTGGTTGTTGGGGAAGAAGAACATGAGTTTGGAGTTATTAATAAAAATATTTGGATTGTGGTTCTAGTATTATAATTTACTAGATGTGTAAAGCTTTCTTAAGTCACTTCTTTGAAACTTATTTTCTTTGACACTAACGTAGGAATGACAAAACATGCCTTTCCTGCATCTCATGGTAGCTGCATGGATCAAAGAATCTTTTGACATACCAGTAAATAATCCAGCACTCTACAGTTATTGCTGGATTTGCTACCGGTAACAACAGCTTACCCATCAGGTGTATTCATTTATGCAGTTTATTTTTCCACACTGTGAACAATTTCGGCTGCGCTTAAATTTTTCTTCCCTTGATTTTTTCCTTAAATATTTTTTAATATTGGAAAAAATATTCTGGACATCTATTTCCTAAATGTTTTTAATAAAATATGTTGTTCTTATAGACTAGGCATGACAGCTCAGATACAAAAAATAAAATGATTGACTAGTTATTTGTCTAAATTAAATAAATCCTCAGGCCTAAATCTGCCAGAAAGTTTGATGTCTCTTTTATTTTGAGAAATTTTGATGTTCATTTTGATGTTTCTTTCTTTTGACGTCATTTTAAAGTCTTTCAACATGCATAATATTAGGACTGTAAAAAATATAACTGATGATGCTTTTGCAACTGTTCATTATCTTCTTGTGGTGAATGATTCACCTAAGCTGTCAATCTCTTAATTCATTGGTAAAAGATCAGTGTAATTTAGAAATCTAAAATGAGCTGCAGGTGTAGCTGCGGGTGTAGCTCACTTCAGGAGATTTGTGGCAGAAAAATTGTGTAATATTGATAAAATATATGCAAATATAATTAAAATGTATCGAAGTTTCTTACAGCAATAATAAGGTAACTCATTGTCAAGGTCAAATAACTAGTCGATAGCTTCATTTTTTATTTGGATTTTCAAAAATAATATTTGCTTCAAGTGATTATATGATTTTAGTGTTGGATGAACCCCACAGGCTTATGCTTTTCAGAGACCTTTCTAGTATACGGAGATTTTATAACATCCTTGACAGATAGACTGGAAAGGTTTTCCAGGCTTCCCTTATAAGGCAGCTTTATAATGAGATTAGTAACTGTTTTTACTCATTAGTAAATGAGATCAGTGTTGATTAAATGAGATTAGTAACTATCTTCCTTTGATTCTTGTTCTGCTTAATGGATCTTTTATGAAAATGTTTAATCTTGTTTTTGAATTGAGAGCATTGCAAAATATCCGAGCTTGTCCATCATGCCTGTTCATTCTTCTATGTTATCTTTTTTTTATTATTTCAGAATATTATGGAGGTACAAATGTTCTGGTTACATAAATTGCTTTTGTACCGTTTGAGTCAAAGTTATAAGTGTGCCCATCCCCTAGATAGTGTGCATTGTGCCTGTTAGGTGTGAATTTACCCACCCCCTTTTCTGCCCTCCCACTTGCTTGATTTCCAGTGAATGTTATTTCCATATGTGCAAGGAAGTGTTGATCGATTAGTTCCAATTTAATGGTGATTACCTGTGGTGTTTGTTTTTCTATTCTTGTGATACTTCACTTAGAGGAATGGTCTCCAATTCCAATCAGGTTAATACAAGAGGTGTTAGTTCACCATTTTTTTTATGGTTGAGTAGAACTCCATGGTATACATATACCACACTTTATTAATCCACTCATGTATTGATGGGCACTTGGATTGTTTCCACATCTTTGCAATTGTGAATTGTGCTGCAATAAACATTCAAGTGCAGATGTCTTTATTATAGAATGTCTTTTTTTCCTTTGGGTAAATACCCAGTAGTGGGATTGCTGGATCAAATGGTAGTTCAGTTTTTAGTTCTTGGGGGTATCTCCATATTCCTTTCCACAGAGGTTGCACTAGTTTGCAGTCCCACCAGCAGTGTATGAGTGTTCCTATCTCTCCACATCCACGCCAGCATTTGTTGTTTTGGAACTTTTTGATAAAAGCCATTCTTGCTGGAATTAAGTGATATCTCACTGTGGTTTTGATTTGCATTTCCCTGATGATTAGAGATGTTGAGCATTTTTTTGTATGTTTGTTGGCCATTAGTCTATCTTCTTTTGAAAAGCTTCTGCTCATGTCTCTTGCCCACTTTTTAATGGGGTGATTTGATTTGTCTATCTTATCTTTTTCTCCCTAACCAAATATCCTCCATCTCCTTTCATTGTTCATTTCATGTTATTTCCAGATTAATCTCCATTCTGATCATGCCTCTTCTCTAAACGTAAGCCAGTTGGTTAATATCTCTGTTAAAACATGGCGCTTAAACTCAACAGCCTGTTCCAGAAGGAACACTGATTAGTCCAGAATACAGACATGGGAGAGATCAGCTTTGATTTACATTTCGGCCTTTTCATTTGATATGTGAAAATCTGTAAACTACAACCCTGACTTGTTAATAAAACATTCTACCATAGAAAATAACTGATTATGTAGGATAATCAAGTCTCGTGATTACTGGGCACAAGGCAAGTACAAATAGATACAGAAAGTATACGTTTTTGTTTGGCTTTTGCAAAGTGCCTTTGTCTTACTTTCGAGTATGTACAGTACATGAAGCTTGGCCCAGAAAGTACAACCAGGTAGAATTGCTTGGGTAATTTTTCCAGGGGTTCAGAGACCTAATCATTTGAGCAATATTCAGTCCCTGATATCTAGCTCACATCATTAAACACCTGCATTGTGTCAGATGCCGTCAGAATCATTTTGTGTGTGTTAACTTATTTAATGCTTGGACTAGGACATGTATACAGAAAATGGTGGAATATTGGTGAACCTAGATGGCCCGATTCCTAGACAGGCACTAACCACCATACTGTTCTGCCTTTACTGTGAAATTAACATTCTGTGTTGAGTGCTTTCAGAAAAATCAAGTGAAATGGTACAGGGATGGCAAGAAATAAGAGTGATTACATTACATGTAGCTCACCAGTTAAACAGTGACTTACTAAACAATGAAGGCATTAATCGTGTGAATTATTTTCTTTTAAAATTTCACCCAATTCCTCATTACCAGTTGTATTCAATGATTTTTTTTTTACTTATTGATTTATTTATTTTTGAAGGATCTCGACATGCATTATGAACCTACAGACACTGCCGCTATGGCTCGAACATCTAATCTGAATGAGGAACTTGGCCAGGTAAACTCTATTTCTGGTTGATACATGATTAATTGGAAGTCAGACTCGGTGGAATTATCTGCCAAAGGTAGCAACTTCAAACAAATGGGCAGCTCCTAATTTTCCATTATTTGAACAGTCAGCATAAATACATTTGTTAGTCAGTGATTAACACTCTTCCTTTTTTGCAAGTGAAGTTTTAAAAACACTATTGAAAGCAGATTTTGCTCTCAGTGTAATGTACTTAATGAGCCTAGAAATGTTCCTCAGTATATGGTCTGATTAGTATGTAAAATATTGGCTGTTTTTTTTTTTTTATTTCAGCATATTATGGGGGTACAGATGTTTAGGTTACGTATGTTGCCCTTGCCCCCCCGCCGCCAAGTCCGAGTTTCAAATATGTCCATCTTTTGGGTGGTGTGCATTGCACTCTTTGTGTATGCATATACCCGTCCCCTCCTCCTCCCTCTCCCCTCCCCCCTGCCCAACATCCAATAGATGTTATTCTTATATGTGCACTTATGTGTTGATCAGTTAATACCAATTTGATGGTGAGTACATGTGGTGCTTGTCTTTCCATTCTTGGGATACCTTACTTAGTAGAATATTGGCTGTTTTTTACATACAGTATTAGAATTATTCATAGCTTTCAACCAAGAAGGAAGGAGAAGTTCAAGTTCATCGGTGAAGTTGTGTGAGTCTAGTCAAATAGGAATTTTAGATTTACAAATCATACTATATTCACATATATGTATATTTATAATCCATTTACACACGCTAGCTGAAAAAAGATTTTTCTCTTCTGTACCATTGCCATATTCCAACTCTTACTCTTCAAATAGCATTTAGTCCAGAGTTATCCTTTTTCTTACCAATTCAGATGTTGCATGAAGTTAATTGCGCAGCTATCACCAATCCTACAACTGCTTGTTATGCTGAGAAATGCTGATAGATGCTTCCGTGCTCCGTAAATGTTAAGTAGTGGTAGTGGTACTTTTTAGTAGAAATTCAGACCATATTAAGGCATATTTCTGTGTGACGTGGTTCTCCTAATATGTTGGCAGTCTTTAGTATTCATCCATGAAACGATTCACTGCTAAAATACTGAAAAAAAGGCCAGGCGCGGTGGCTGACGCCTGTAATCCTAGCTCTCTGGGAGGCCAAAGCGGGCGGATTGTTTGAGCTCAGGAGTTCAAAACCAGCCTGAGCAAGAGTGAGACCCCGTCTCTACTAAAATTAGAAAGAAATTAATTGGCCAACTGAAAATATATAAAAAAAATTAGCCGGGCATGGTGGCGCATGCCTGTAGTCCCAGCTACTTGGGA